ACTCCTTTTGGTGGAGAAATTGGAGACATCTATTGAATAAGCCACTGAAGTCACCACACCAGGGCAAGCCTTCATTTTGCATGCCATCGCTGGCCTTACATTGCAGCTGCCCCTCTTGCTCACAATGTCCTTGGTTGTTTCATGTGATTTCGTTGCCGCTCTTCTCCTTTCTTTCTTCTAGTTATCTCCTCATCAGGTCTGGTGGGTGCCCTGCGTTTTCAAACCGCCTTGTGCATTGTACGACCGGCGCTTGATCGGGACGCAGAGTACAGGCCCTGGGCCGTGGTTCAATCGGACCTGTTGGCCTTTTTTGGTGAACAATACAGCTTGGCAACGGGGTGGGGTGCTCAAGCAGTACATGTGTAGCTGCTTCCAAGTGGGGAGTCCAAAGTGGACAGGTCGTCCTGCTGCTTCCATTTGCTTTCGTGCCTTTTCTATCCTTTTCTTGTGTGCTATTCTTGGCTGGCTGTTGGGCTGGTGGCAAAGACGTCTCAAGCGTTGAAGCTGGAGGGTTTCACACGCTTTAAGGCAGGCTGTGGCGCTGGATGAAGCACCTGTGAATTCTGCCGCCGCACGGCGCTTCTTCTACAGGTCGCACCGGGGGAGGGAGATTTGCAGTGGGAACCCACGGTGGGTTGTTGTGATTCTCTTCAGACCCTGAAGGTGCTTGTCCCCTGAAAGCATGGCAGGAAATCGGAGAAAATACAAAACACACAGAGTCGCAGAGTAAATGCGATATTCTAGTAGTGCTGAACTTGATCTGAGACAAGATGATGCCTTTCTAGAGTTCCTGCACCTACGGACGTGCCTGTGCAAGCAGACAATCACTGAACTCTCCCTCAGTTTGTCACCGGTGGTTTGTTTGTGCTTTCTGAAGTCTCCACATGTGGTGCTATGGGGGTTGTGGGAGATTTGACGAGTTGATATCGTATCACTTGCAACATCTTGCAACTCTTGGGTCTTAGGCATGGGGTTATTGGAGACACATCAATCTCGCATAATCTCACCACCTGTGCAACGCCACTTGCAACGCCTTTTCTCCTGCGCGGCAGGTGCTGCCTTTTCGTCACTCAGAATTGGGCTCAACTGCTTCAGTGCCCGCGGCTTGTGGACCCTGCGTATGACACTTGGAGTCCGACAGATGGCGGGTTAGCATCTGTCGCATTGTCGCATACAGCATCGACCATGTTTGGTTGTGGACGGATGCACCATGAGTTTGAACGGATGCGCCATGCCAAAAACCATTGACAAGATGCCGTTTGGATGCACGATCAGTTCACTATGAGAGCCGAGAGCCGATACAAACAATGACTGAACTGCTTTCGACTGCGAGCCCATGAGCTACTTGACTCCCTCAAATGTTTGACCTGCTTTGTCATGTGTTACTTGAGTACGATTCTGTATGTTTCTTCATACATGTGGATTCCCCATGATTGTCTGCAGGGGAGCTACAAATGCCTTCCACTCCTGTATCAACGAATGACTTCCATGTGAGACGATCGCCATGTGAGAAAGCGAGCCGGAATTTGCCCATGGGAGCCGGAACTCCTCTTTTGACCGTGAGGAAGGCCTCACCACAGAGGACGGGATGCGCTTGCGTGGCTACAGCCGGACACCTTGCAAGTTTGGAGGCTCCAATCCTCGACGTTCCACCTCGGGGCCGGCAGGTTTGGAGAATTGGCCAGGGGGGGTTTATGATCGTGGTACTTTCCGATTTGTTGGAATATGTTGGAATGATGTTCGTGGGAGGAGTGCGTGCGTACACTTCCTGGCATCATCATGGCTACGTGAACTCCACAGGGAAGGTATGGTGTGTAAATCATTGTATATAAATCCAATACCTTTACCGGAGGGCCGGATCTGTGAGGATGAAGTTTGACCTTTCTCCCGCCTGGGCTGTCGCCCAAAACCAGCCATTACAGTGCCCAAGAACTCGAAAAGGAACTATGCTCAGACACTCCATGTATGGAAGAGTAAGAATATCCCTACCCCCTTACCCATGGATTTGAGGGGGTGACACCTGAGGTTATTGGATATAGTAATATTATATGTGCCTACACTGAGGTTTCAGGGGCCGATGGCGACATATGTTCCAGTCACCCTGGAGCGCCTGGGAAATGGGTAGAGAGAAATCCCATGGGACGGCCAACACCGTTCCGCAGGCAAGTGCTATGACCAGAAGAAGGGCCACCGCACGCAGCAGTTTGATCGAAAGATGGGCCACCGGTTGCAGTCTCGCTCTATCAGCTGAAGACGGGGATAGGGAGGCTGGCGGGCCTTGTGCAAGTTGCAGCGTCCTACTGGCATGGCATGTCAGATCTCCTGTCATGAGGGAGTGCGAAGGGGCTTCGACCTTGCCTCTTCTTTTTGAGGCGCTAGGAGGCATTAAGACATTGCCATCACATATATATATATATATACACATTATGTATAGACATGTAGCAAGATATACCGCCCACGTGAGGAATTTGAATTGTTGTTTTGTTCGGGGTCAAGCAAGGCTCTCTCGTCCAATTGCATTTCCTATGAGTCAGTTCTGCGATATTGTCATTTTGTGTTCACAGCAATGGGCTGGTGTTTGTCCTGGTGCTTCATTCGCTGTCGCCCCTGGTGCTTTTTTGCGCGCGCGGTCCGGCGGATGGCTGCAAGCTTAAGGTATTCCCATCCTGGTGATGTTGATTGGCAACGCCTACCATGTCGTTATGCAGCACGTGGATGTCGAGATAGATCCGAAGGAGAGGGGACAACCCTGTCAGGGCCTGTCAGGGCCTGCTAGCTGTTGCCCACCGAGCCACCTAGTTAGTGTAATTGTCCGAGGCAGCTTTGCTGACGGTCCCAGTCGCTGGCCTCGGCTTGTTGCCCCACTAAGTTCAAGACCACGCGCTGACCGTGCTGACATACACCTGGAGACTCCAAGACCATAAAAAGCATTGCAATGATATACCAGGACCTTCCAAGGGGTGCCCAATGGAAGCCCCTACACCACTAAGGGACCTCCATTGGACGCCCCTTGAAGGAGGCCATCGCTACTAGGGTGGAGGCCATTGGGTGCAACAATTTTTTGGACTTTTGGGGGAGCAAGCCGCGGCAAGCCATACTTGAGGGAGTCAGTTGAACACCTCCTCGCTGACACCCCCGTGTAAAATCAGCGAGTCATTTGAGGGTCGAGGCCACGTCCGTGGCCGGCCAGGTGTCCCAAGCGGTTTTTTGTGTCCGCAATGCTGTTTACAGCTGTTCACATGTGGCCTCATTCCATGAGCCATGTTGACAGGAAGGAGTTGTTCTGGACGGGTGTTGTATCAAGAATCCCCCATACTACAGTGAGATCACTTTGTTTGCTGACATGTTCAGGTCATGGGTACGGTGTCTTGTCTTCAGATTGAATCAAGAGTTTCCTTCTAACTTTCCTGTCGTCACCAGCCATCCATCAACCACAGGAAGGACCAGGGGACCGGGGCTACCCACTTTCCAAATCATTTCTGCGGGGAAGCCGCCGAAGCAGCCGCCAGGACACCAGTGACTTGGCGGGAAAAGGCGGTAGCTTCTTGCTCCTAGTAGCGATGCCCTTGGTTTCTAGTAGCTTCTTGCTTCTATATAACCTCCTGACCTGCTTCATAGATGGACTTTTACTGCTATTGGTTGGTTGCTGAATCGAGGGGGTTGCTGAATCGCGTGAATCAGCAAGTTCGGTAGTATACCCGGCATCCCGGACGAATCATGAATCGGTCCCTGGAGTCGGTCACAGCTGTCGTGATCCGGCATGATGGACATAGATCATTCAGTAGCAAGTCACACAAAAAGGTGCAGAGATCATAGATTGTCATAGATCATTGATTCAATTCAGTTTATTGTGTCTCGAATTGCATCTAATCTATTTCTAAGAAAACTCTGTTTGAAGTCCGCATGAGGCTGGAGTTTGCTCATCCGGGCGACTTCGATTGGCAAGAACTGGCCACAAACACCGGGCGACACTCGCAGGTCTAGGCCCGGCTGGACGATTTTTGGAGAGACTTGTGGAGACTGATAGTAGACGCAAGAGCGCACTTGCCAGGTTCTGCTGACCAAAACGCCTTGTGATCCGGGATCGTTGCTTTTCAAGAGTAGCCTGTCGGGACTCCGGACTGCTTATATATATAGTTCTGCAAAGCTTTAGACATCCTTCATCAACCCACACTGTGCAGCCGAAGAATGCCAGTTGGCGATTGCCCCACTGGCTTTGCGCGTGAAGCCTTTGTTGTTGAGAGCTTTATATGTTTGTTCTACAAGATGGTTTGTCAATGTTGTCATCAGCCAAGGCAAAGTTCACACGTGATTATCCTTACCAACCTAGGATATATTTGGATATCATTGTACTTTGCTGTATGTGGACGAAGGGTGAGTCACACTGGCTGTTTAAAGAGAAAGATATAGGAAGGTGGCCTGTATGTTGTGCCAAAGTTCACACTTAGGCTTGGCCTTTACCAATAGTCCTCACCCAAGAGCCCCATTGCATTGTGATCCTCAGAGCCCCATGCGCCCTTGAGGCAACGCGATGCATGGAGAGATGCAGAGGATTCAGAGGTTCGTTGGGCCTAATGGTGTGCAGAGACGCGTCTTGCTGTAAAGTTGCTGGCCTGAATCTGTTACGCCACTTAAAGCGGCAAGCTGTGGTAGCGCAGCCGCTACGCCTGCATATGTAGTGCATAGTGCATAGTGCAGTGCATCAGTTCCAGGTCATGCACCAAGTGCATGAAACCATGTGCAAAGCACCTTCAGTCAGCTTGTGTTGCTCTCCGAATCCTTCCTAAGTTGCACAATTTAGCGAGTTTGATATGCAGAGATTGCTTTCTGCTGTGCTTGGAAGAAATGGAGCGAAAATGGTAGGCAGGACACCCGAAGGCAGTGAGCTGGCATTGGTGTGGCCAATACAACGTCGGAACAAGGAAAATGTGGCCATTCAAAGCAGCGGCCCGATTCTGCCTCCCTGCTGGTTTAGATTGGCGTGCTGTAGCTCTTCTCAGGCGCAAGAGAAGGCGGCCTCAGATTCAGAGGATGAAGAGGAGTGGAAGTCTCGGCGCTGAGTCGTTGAGTCAGTCTCTCTTGACTAAAGACATCTCAAATGGAGCAGGTGTTTTTTTGAAGAGTTTACGGCCCCTTATGCTCACTCCAAGGTGTTTGCTGCTGCACTTGTATGATCATTGCACTACACTACTACGCTACTGCATAGCTTGTTGGTTCTTCCCTTCTTAGACTATTCATGACTATTCTACACCGGGCGTTTGAGGTCCATCAACCTTTTGACATAATTAGGTGCCACATTGGCTCACATGATGTTTGTGTGCTTGCGATTGCTGGTATGTCAAAAGAGCAGCACGTGATTCAACGGCCGCTCTTGGAACTCACGATTTTTGGTGGAAGTGGCGTTCGAAATGGCCCAAAGCTGTGAGATTAGTTTTTTGTGTGGCTTTGTGGTTGTCACATGTTTCCACATGTTTTAGGACACCCAAGGTTGGCAACTCCAAGATCATGAAGCGAGTCATCTTATGAGTCACTTTGCCCTTTGGAGTATGAAGCCCATGACTGGCCAAGTGGGGGGTCCAAACACTGAGCATCCACACCATCCTCCAAAACGATCGCCCAAACCGGTGGCTTTCGGACGAGCAGGAAGCCGAGCCATCATGTCATGAGCGAGGGGGTGCACGGCAACGGCCGTAAAACCGGGGGCCCGGCCATCGGTTCTTCATCGGGGGTCGAGCAAACCAGTTCCACACTCCACCTCACAGTCGATGCAAGTGGGAGAAACGCCAGCCTAGAGGCCAAGCCGCCCTGCCATGCGCTGCCTCGCGGGAGCATCCATGCGTGATCCACTTCGAGTTTCCTTGGTCCCAGGACGAGGTCTCACGTGCCCACCGCGAAAGCACCCAACGACGCCTTCGTGAGCTGGGCCAGCGTGGTGCCCAGGGACGTGATGTTCTTCGCATGGTGTGGGAGCAATTGGGAGTGAGAACTGGCCTATAGAACTCCCAATCGATATACAATGTTTTGGTACTCCATTCCGTTCATGTTGGGGGGGTCAGCCAGGGTCGTTTTGTGACCCCACCAAACCACGTTGGCGCCGTGTTGCCGGCCTCTTTCGCTCGAAAGCTCGAGCGAGAACCGTCGACCCAAGGCCTGCCACCTTCTTTGCCGAGACGGATGCTGAACGCTGGGACAGGTAAGGGGTTGGGAGCTTTCGTGAGCCCGCCCGACGGGTTCACGAATTCATGTCGGCCCTGTTGCTTCGCTGTCAGCGTTCGCTGGCAGCCAGCTCTTCCTGCCTTGGGGGTCCCCACGGGTAGAGACGTGTAGTTATACAGTTATACACGTGAATATATATAAATAACATAATATAACCGCGTGGGTGTTGAGTCTGTTCGGTTGCTTATGACATCGGCATCCAAGGAATGAAGCACTGCGACTCCGGAGTTGCAAAGGGGGGTGTTTAGTCCCGAAGTGAGTGGATAATATGATAATGGGCATCAAACTCGCATGCGGACAGTTGTCTTGCCTGGTAGAAGGCTCCCGAACCGGAGTTCTTTTGCTGCAGTGGGAGGGGGCCGGCCCCCCTGTTGTTCAGTGCCCCTGTATTCAGCTTTGCCTTGGACGTCCGCGGCTGTTGGCCCCTGCAGTCTAAGACCATAAGAACCATTAAGAACCTGGACATCTGAAGCACTGGACGGTGGGCTTGGGGGAGAGAGTCGCGAGTTTGCTTGTGGAGTTCTACTGCACGTCTTGCGTTTAAAACGTTTGGAGACATTTTTTGCGGACCAAACACCGGTGTCCTGGTGTCCAACTCCCCTGCAGACGGGTCATTCGGATTCTGGGTCTCGATGGACCACCGGTGACGGTGCAATTCAAGAAGGGTCCGATGATCTGTTTGAATCGACCTCCACAGCGATGGATTCGTTTTCGTTTTGATCCGATCTCCTGACGAGGCTGCAGAGATGCGAACTGAATCGTGACCAGGAGCAGCGGTTGGGGAGTGTTGGGTTTGAGTCCGGCAGCCGAAAACTACTCGGAATTGTGTTAGTTGACTACAAGGAAGATACAAGTATAATAAGCATATATAGTTTCTCCAAGAATTTGTTGAGAAGCTTAGGATTCCAGGTTTAGCTTCTAGTTCTCGCCGTGTGATTTCAGCATGTAGCTTGGCTCAAAGCCAACAGGCTGAGCTCAAATGCGCCCATGCGCAGGATGTCTTGGCGGATGGCTCCACAAACGCTGAACACCAAGAGATTCATTTAGATGAGTCAGCGGTTACCGTATAGTTCTCGCCTAGCATGTTCTAGCTTTTTACCTCTAAAGCAAAGCAGAGGCCGCTGGCAACATTCTGGCAGATCGATCCTTCTGATTGAAGCCAAACAGCTTTGGACAGCTCGTGAGTGAGGCTCTTGAGTAAGACCTATGCAGACGAATTCTTGCCCTCTTCGGCTGCTTCGGCTCAGGTCATGCAAATTCTGGACCGACGCCAGCAGCGTGAGCGAGAGGCACTGGCTGATCTAGAAGCCAAGAAGAGAGACTCTGGAGGGCATATGAATAATGTGATCGAACGTGTGGTTAAGGACCGTTTAAGATGTCGCACCATACGGTTCCTAGACAGCAGAGTTCGATCCAGTTTCGGAAGTGGGTGCCCAACATAGCGCCACGAAGAGCTATGTTGGCTCTTGGCTTTGCTTGGACTTGCTTGGCTTTACAGGCTGCTGGTGGCATCCGTGGTACTGACATTGTGGATGCCGAGGCCGCTGGAGTCAATACTCCACTGAGTTCTCCATTCATGGCTCTCCATGCTGCTGATTCCAAACACCTCCGCATACACACCTCCGCCTCAACGCTTCGCGGAAAGACCGTCCACAGATGCTTTATAAGACTCAAGGACCTTTGTTCCTAGTAGCTTCTTGTTCCTAATAGTAATGCCAGGAGCTACTAGTAGCATCCTTGCTCCTAGTAGCGATGCCCTTTGTCCCTAGTAGCTTCCTTTTCCTAGTCTTGCTCCTAGTAGCGATGTCCTTTGTTCCTTTGTAATGCCAGGAGCTACTAGTAGCGTCCTTGCTCCTAGTAGCGATGCCCTTTGTTCCTAGTAGCTTCTTGTTCCAAGAAGTAATGCCAGGAGCTACTAGTAGCGTCCTTGCTCCTAGTAAGGGTGCCCTTTGCTTCTAGTAGCTTCTTGTTCCTACTAATAATGCCAGGAGCCACGTAGCGTCCTTGCTCCTAGTAGCGACACCCTGCGTTTTATAGTAATGCCAGGAGCTACTAGCAGCGTCCTTACTCCTAGTAGCGATGCCTTTTCTCCTAGTAGCTTCTTGTTCCTAGTAGTAATGCCAGGAGCCACTAGTAGCGTCTTTGCTCCTAGTAGCGATGCCTTTTGTTCCTAGTAGCTTCTTGTTCCTAGTAGTATTGCCAGGAGCTACTAGTAGCATCCTTGCTCCTAGTAGCGATGCCCTTTGTCTCTAGTAGCTTCTTTTTCCTAGTCTTGCTCGTAGTAGCGATGTCCTTTGTTCCTTTGTAATGCCAGGAGCTACTGGTAGCATCCTTGCTCCTAGAAAGGGTGCCCTTTGCTTCTAGTAGCTTCTTGTTCCTACTAATAATGCCAGGAGCCACGTAGCGTCCTTGCTCCTAGTAGCGATGCCCTTTGTCCCTAGTAGCTTCTTTTTCCTAGTAGTAAGGCCAAGAACTACTAGGAGCGTCCTAGTAGCAATGCCCTTTGCTCCTAGTAGCTTCTTGTTCCTAGTAGTAATGCCAGGAGCTACTAGTAGCGTCCTTGCTCCTAGTAGCGGTGCCCTTTGTTCCTAGTAGCTTTTTGTTTCTAGCAGCGTCCCTTGCACCTTGTTGCTGGAAGATCTAGACTTTGAATTGAAATCTCTAGACCCCAGATTCTTCTCAGGGAGTCAATGCACCTCTTTTGGGCTTCCTTTGCACCGTGCCGCCATCAAAGCAACTACACTCCCGCAAAGATCAGAAGTGGGTGACGAGAGCGTGGGGACTTGTAATGTTGACTGTTGATTCAACGACCCCCCCCTTAAGGAAATAATAGGAGTAGCAATACCCCATGGACATCCTCGATTTGTGACCCATCGCAGTACCCAATCGCATGTACACTCTGACGAACACATCGCAAAAAAAAAGCATGTTAGTTTGCGAACAGGTGATGCCATCCACGTCCATGTGATGTGTTCGTGCGAGCGATCTGTCATCGACAGGACGCCGAATTCGCCGCGCTGGAAGGGACCGTCTCGCGCCACGCTCGGGGAGCTCAGTGGGGCGTCCGTGTCGTGAAAAGCCCAGACCATCCATGTATGGAATGTATGGAATAGTTACCATTGGGGTCATAAATGGGGTAAATGGTAAATGTATGTAAGTTTTACATAACTATTCCATTCCCTATGGGCTCCAACCATATCCTCAAAAGATGGTTGGACTGTTAGATCTCCTAAACCCGCAACAACCACCTTCCAGTCCCATTGCGAACTGGTTAAAGGGGGCTTCGCATTCGTCTGGTCGGCTCCGTTGGCTCTGTTTCGACCCTGGAGGTCGACAGGAGACTGGAGGGCACGCTCCACCATGCCGAGTTATGTTTTTCAAGATTGAACATGGTCCCCCAAGTCCGACTTGACCAGTGCGACGATTTCGTAGGGCCATTTCGGGTGGCTGGATCCATATTGAATCCCTAAGAAGGGAGCGAAACTTCCCTTCTTCGCGACTAAGCACCAGTCAGTCTGGGCCGAACTGTCATCCACAGGTTTTCCCATCAGGTCCTGTTGCCCTGAGGTTGTTTTCTTCAGGGCACAAAGTCATGCGAAGTAAGCGAGGCCAGTGGCCTACGTGATCTCACCGTAGTGGCCTAGGGTGGGGTCACATTCATGGTCAAGTATAGGTTGAACAATGTTGAACGATGTTGAATGGATCATATCATGTGCAACATGATTCAATGTACTACCTACCAATCTACAACCTCCTACGATGTACTATAATGAATGTGTTCATATGTATTCAATTTTTACCTGGATCATGTAATGGTTTTTCCATCAGGTGAGTTGCACATGGCTACCAACTAGTCCAACCAGGTATACTTCTGAATGGTGGCATCTGGTGGTAGACATTTGCTTGGGTGCCGTGGTCATTTTGAGTCAAAGCGTTGACCATCACACTGGAAGTCCAGGGTCATAGATCCGTGTTTGTTGTAGCTTCTGTCGATCTGCCGACGGGGAAACGGTCCTTCCCTGCAATCATCAATCATGCAAGACCTTTTGGCCCTTTGAGGAGCCCATCGAACAGGATAGCGCATCTGAAGAAGAAGGAGGCCTTGGCAGCCTTGTGTGTTTGAAGATGGTGGTTGCGATCACCTTGCAGCCAGGCAGTTTGATGCAAGTCTGTAATATTCCAACAACTGTTGGATGCGATGATCTATGATGCACGATTCCAGCGCCGCATGCGCAGACGGGGCGGCCCGTGTTTCGATTATCTGAGTGGAATGCGTTCAAATCCCACCAGTGACTTGGCGACTTGGCCGTTGTTTCTTGCCGAGTCAGGTCACAAGTGTGAGAGCTTCTTTGCCCTAAATTAGGCTTAGGCTTCTTTTGGGAACATCGGCATTCGGACCCAAATGTTTCACAGTTTGTGTCAGTTAGATTAGTATAATTTATAGTTATATAGATTAGTTAGTGTTAGTTCAGCGTTCAACTGCATGTCATGTCTTAAAACATCTATCAAGGGTATTCCGACATATTCCGACTGTTTGTTCAGATGTCCTTCGTAATCACTTAATGACTGGCAGGCCCACGGCTGGCCGCAGTGCTTGGGAAGGACACGGAGCGTGACAAAGAGGCAGAGGAGGCCGGGACAATGCAACAAGCTGTTCAGAACGGGGGCTTCATTTAGCAGCGCATCTCGAATTCAGACTTCAAATCGTATGCCTTTCTTTACGTTCTCAAAGCCACATCACCACAATGTTCTTCCGCGTTACTTCAGAAGCAGCTGGACACGCGACACGGGCTCGCGTGCGTTTGCCTGCAAGGCCCAGAAGAAGTTGGATGAAGCCTCACATGAGGTGACATCGTGGATCCGTAGCATGTCCTCCTGCTCAGACCTTCAGCGGTCGTGCAACTCGGGATCGTGTGCGACCTTCGGCGAGTCCGCGTGGTGGAAGCTTTTGGGTCGATGCAGGTTGCCGCTTTTGGCGGCCTCAGTTCATCTCAGTTCACAACAAGAATCGGGTGGTCTTGGCAGAGCATACGGAGGGCCCTTGGGGCTGTCCGCGAAAAAGACAGGTGGGATCTGAAGGGCTACAGATTACAGATTTGTCCTCTCATCAGGTCTTTTGCCGCCACGTTTCGGAGAAAAACACACCATCCCCAGCTGGACACAACTTGTTGGAATCACTCCTACAGTCCTACAGGGTACAGTATCAACTCATTTTCCTCAAGCTTGAATGAGTGTGGCTGAGATGTCTAGTTCAGTGGCTGAAGTTATCCTGGCGGCAGGACAATGAGGCTTCGAGGCCATTATACATTGCACTTTGAACTCGAAAGGAAGGCAGACAACAACCCTGCTGCGGCCCACGTCCAATTACAAAGGAACATGCACTTACCAGACCCAACATGTTGCAAGATGATTTCCTGTACCAGGGGTGGCCCAGGATTGATTTATGTAACAATTTATATACTGTACTGTATGTATACATATTGAGTTTCCAGGCTACCGCCTGCAGCTGCTGACCCGGGACCACGTGCAGGGAAGAACAGCAGCGGTTGGAATTGTGTATGCGGCCATGTGTAGTGTGAGTAGTGTGAGCCAAGAATGACGGCAAGGGCGGCGATGGGAAGCTGGGAAAGGCCGGCTCCGGGACGCGCAATGCAGGCCCACAAGACAATGCATAAGGCCCTGCGGCGGTGTGCAGCTGACCTTTGAATCGCGAGCTCAGAAGCAATGTGGTGCAACAACAGGAATGCAGCAGGGTACCAGAAATATGGGACTCAATAAGGCCTCGTGACTCGTGTTGAGCAATGGCAGTGGCACCTTTTCTGTGCAGCCGTTGTAGTCACTATAGTGTTGAACTGAGCAGCTGCTGCAGGTGTTTTTTGGCTGCTAAGCTATGTTTGGGGATCAGAGAGGGCACGTCAAGTGTCTTGGTAGTGTAAGTTCTGTTGTGACACCTGTTTGAGTAACGTTGGAGCTGTAAGCAAGGTTGAAGGGGCAAAGAGAAAAAGACTCTGTCCGTGGGGAGAAGTGCAAGGCTTTGCCCATGGGGACGCGTGAAGTATATGTACAGAAGAAATGCTAGAGCAGCGGCGACGTACCCGCAGGAAGAGGGCTGTGCCCATATAAAGACTGCTGGCCGCAATAGCCTCTCACACGTGGGGCAGGAGGTTCTTAACATCTGCCAATTTGCGCCTGACTCACATTGCAGACCCTTCTCGGTTGTGCAACTTCAGCAAGCCCTACATAGACGTGAGGGAATACTTTAAAAAGACAAACAAAAACCCAGAGTCCCTCCTTGAGTATGCAAATTAATCGTTCGGTGATCATTTATAAGATTTTATAAGCAGATCACAGAGGTGTGCCCCTCAAACATTTGGAACAAATAATCAAGGTTCCTTCACAGCCAAGGGGCCTTGATGCTGGACAGTGATGGGAACTTTGAGTGAGGGGAAAGCTATTGATGTATGTAACTACCAATGAGTTTCTTATATAGATCATCGGATCACGACAGGTCAATGAAAGCAGACCTCAGACCTGGGGATAGGTGCTGAAAAAATCCGCGCAGCCGTGAGCATTATATATTGAATATTGACCAAAAAGTGGCTGACATCTCATGTATTTTGGATTGGATCCCTGCATAGGCTCCATAAATTGCAAAATTGACCACGCCAGACCCCACTCATCCTACGCACGCTTCCACATGACTGAGTGCGGGTCGGCGGATACATCCTACGCAAATAACGCACGCCTCCACATAACTGAGTGGGGTCAGTGGAAATTATAGTATATCTATAAATATACAAAAATACATATATATATGTTATACTCATATAGGATATGTAGGTCGTGCGCGCATGGGTGTCAACACCGCCAGCGCCGACCCACCGACCCCGGCCAGCGCCGAGGCTCCGCGCCTGGGAGGCGGATCTCACCAGCCGGTCCCCGGGCGAGGCTCGGTGAAGGACGCAGGTGACGAGCTGCAGATCTCTCGAGGCGGACAGGTGGACGTGATGTTTGTCCGAGTTCTACGTGTGGAGAGGTTGTTCGGGATGGTTCAGTGTGTTGTTTTTCCCGTGCGTGTTTCCCACTTCCAGATCTTCCAGGATTGAGGGATCGGTTCAGGTTGCAGATGCTTCTTTTGAGGCATTTTCAGGACCTGGGGCCGTTGACGTCGTGGTTATGGGACTTGGTGTGTCATCTCCGTCAACGTGGGACTGGTGGAGTCACTAATGCCAACGAAGAGTTGCCGTACCCGTGCTTTGCAACAAACGAGAGGGCCTAGGGCAACCCCCAGAGCTCGTGGAGTCTTACTGTAGAACATTGGTCACCCGCCCCAGCTGAACGCGAACTTGGTCTCGACACATGTAGCCTCAAGATAGGGCCAGGAGTGACAGAAGCCCCTGGAAGACCCCATGGGGCAGGCACCAAAATGGGGTGCCCCAAGATTGGCCAGTATGGCAGCATGGCAAGGCAACAACAGCAAAAATCACAAGTCCAAAATTGATTGAATTTACAAGTGCAAAGTGGTTTTAGCCTTAGGATTAGGACATGCCAGCAAGTGCACGTGCCGCGATTACATGATAGACATGCTGTGCACCTTGGTCGCACCATGGGAGTGGGCAAGCCTTCTGACACGTTCCCAACACCCAAAGCTTGAAGACATTGGCGGGCACAGGAACTTGTTTGCTTGAGAAGATGAAGACATTTTGTCACTATAGCCTCTATACTAGAGAGTGCAAATGACCCTGGATTGATGTTGGAGGCTTGTAGGACATGGCAGGACATCCCATGCCCAGTCTCACTGCGCCAAGCGAGCCAAGACCATGCCCGGATTGGCCTCGTCTTCCTTTGCCTCCTGGGCATCCAGACTGGCATTCAATGGGTTCTTAAAGGCTTGGCTTTCGCACATGTTTTGTTCAGATTTGTTCTACTTTGTCATTTTGCCATTTCGTCTGGAAGAGCCCAGCCGGCTCTTCCTTTCGCAAGCCACTGCCTTTCGCAAGCAGCTGATCTGATCAATCCTGATAGGTAGGGTCTATGTTTCACCCTTCTTTTTGAAAGCGGAGGATTTCAGTCATATGATATGTGTAGTGTGTGTGTGTGTGTGTGTGTGGGAGTTTCAGTGATATAACAATTACTCTACTTCAGACTTCAGTCATATTACACAAATACAAATGATATCATAAATCTGTGTGTGTACGCACACGCCAATGTGTCTCCACACAGGTAGTCCTAGAAGCCCTGCTTTCCGGCCACGGCCGGCCCCCGGTCGATCCGGTCCATCCGTTGCAGGCGACCCCACCGGGACCCCACGGGACTTCGGGGACTTCGGACACAGCCCGGGGCTGGGGGTCCTTCGGCCCTGGAGGGGCCGGGAGGCTTGGGGTGGGGTATCCCGGGCCGGGAATGGCTCGGAACGGGCATCGAGCGAGGTCGAAGCAGGGCATTTGAAGCTGTTAGCACGAATTCACCGAATGCAGAGCTCTTTCCACATGTCACAGGACATGTGCCTTTGGGCTGCAAGGTGATTCAGCGATGGAGGGGGAGTGAATGAGGAAAAAACCGTGGTACCTGTGTGTTGGTGCACCCAGGCTTGATCTCACACGGAAATCCACGAGACCCGGGGCAACACGACGTGCAGCAATCCAACGTCGTGTTGCCCACGGTGCTATATTCTGTAAGCTGTGAGCATGGTTGAATGAGCTGCAACCTGCCACGAGAAGTGGGCCTTCCCAGCCCTCAGCCGGTTGAAAGCCTTGCCCCAAAAAAAAGACCTTACCGCCTTCCTCCAGCACACATGCGGAGTTTCCAAGTTGGCTACAGGTAGAGGCCATTTCTTGCAAAACCATCTCTCCAGAATGCCTGACCTCACAGCAGAAAGAGTCCCAAAAATGCTTGGTATCGGTCTTCTACTCATGGTGCCTCCTTTCGTCCACAAGTCGTACACTCATGGAGAGCCCAGCACGTGTTGATGTGTGGTTGCCCTACTGCGAGCCCAGACATCCCTTTTAACCATGTTTAAACCACTTGGGATGCACAGAGGGTGTTTTTTACACCACAGGGTGGCTTGGCATGTTTGAGCCGCTCCTGTAACGCATCGGACGGCCCCTCAAGACACCCGAGGCTCCAGCCGAAACACACCGCGGTTCGAGGGCCCAAGCAGACCAATAAGTTCTGGGCGAATTGGCCGCGTGGCAGAACTGAGAATATGTGAACCCATTCAGCAAGCCTTCAAGGCTTGCTCCCCCAAGCCACTGAGAGATTGAACGCGTCACATACTGATGATACTTAGCAGTTGAGGATGTGTAGGTGGTAGATTCTGTCATTTGCCTTCCAAGGAGGCGTTTGCAAATGACGTACTTCCTATTTGAGTGGATCCTGGTCCACTTGCGGCAGATACTCTTTGTATCTCTTTGATTCTCTTCGTAGGTCGTCATGAGTCAAACTAAATACAGACCACCTCTCCTGGCAGTCAGGCCCGTGTAGCGTGTCGAATCCAGCGGTCGACAGTTCTGAAGAGGGGGGGAACAGGAAAAGACTGCAGTTTTGGCGGCAAGAGTGGTGCTGATTTACTGTAAGAAATGGGAAGCCTAAACCGGATCAGTGCGGGAGTTTTGTTTCTCTAGACCAGGTACTGTGGGATTTAATGCTGCTTAGTGTATTTTTGTGTGATTTGTGTTCCTACCCTGTCCAAGAAAAACATAGAAGAACGCATCCCCATTGGGCGGAATCACTATCCGCTAGCCTTTTGCCGCCAACCTTGTTGTGACTCATCATCCGGTTCCAATGCGTCAATGGGCAAAAGATTATTCGGGCAGGGCCGGAAGTCAAAGCACCGAGAGTGTGAGTGTCCTTTGCTGGTTTTTCTTCCGATCTTGGTTGGTTCTGGTATCGTGGCAAAGCGAACGCACAAAAATTATACCAGCATAGACCCCAAACAGTTTCAAAACGATTCGTTGGGACCAATATTCGTCAAAAGCGACTTCTTGATACGCCCTACCTACCTTCCCCCCCAAGAGCAAATTGCTTTATCAATGATTTTTGTCGGCATCGACATCGCTAATTGTTCGGCCATAAGAGAAGACAAGAGAAGAGCAGGACAAGAGGAGGACAAGACCCGGCCACACCCAGGAATACACAAAGACACCCCAACTGGCCGGTGGCATCAGTCAACTTACATCATCATGACCAGTCAACTATATGTTTGAATGTGACCATGTGCTTCATGAATCCTGTCAACAGCCGAGGATCATTTCAGATCCAGTGGTATCTCGGCTTTACGTGGCAAGGCTGAGGTTTTCTGCAGCAGCCTGGGCAGTGGAGACTGCCGTTTGAGCTGAAAACAGGGGGAAGTTTGGAGGATTTTCTCCGTACCAAAACGGTGACTTGTTCCCATTTGGCTTGGCATCCGTTGATTCTTTCTCCACAATCTAAGCTTGGTCTCATAAGCATTCATAAGCTGTGACCGCTTGTTTGGCCCAGACTTCGGTAAATGAGGTGTGGATGTCAGTTCCTACCAGCAGACCGCAATTTGATTTGTTGGACAATATAATATAATATAATGTAACATAATATCATATGTATATATATATATATTTATCTATGAATACTTGTATCGGATCCATTGGATAATTGCCTTTGTTGGTCGGTGTTCTTCCAGCTGTGGTGTAGAGCCGATTTTGGACAGTCGGAAACCTCTAAGACTTGAGACGTGTTCTTGCTCATGCAGCTGGTATGGGCCGTGCATGTAAGCACGGCCAAGTTGAACCCAGGCGGGTTTCTCTGAAACCATTTTACTGCTTGAGGGCCAACTTTTGGCAGCAACGCTTGAACATGTTGGTGCTCAGCAATGCTCAGCACAAAAGGGACAGACCACACCATCCGTTGAATGTGCTGCATGCTTTGCCCTGCAAGTGCTCAGCTCACGGCAGCCGCATTGAACCCACCCAAAGAAAACGAATCGCTGTCTTCTGAATTGAGCATCCCTGAGGCTGGCAATGGAGCAGTGCATGCAATCTATCCGATGCCTTACGTGCTCAAGCTGGGAAGCAGCCGTGAGCCACTGGCACCAAAAAAGAATCAGGTGTCGCATGTAGCCTCATTGATACCAGGCCAAGTTCTGAACAACACCATGGTTTTCCTGCTTTGATATTATAGCAGTGGGGCAAAACCTAGCCCCAGCAACCCTTGACTGTGGTTTTAATGGGCTGTTTTCCTCCTCGTGGACTGCCACAGCTTCCAAGTCGACAGTCACTTCGCGTCTCGTCCTGTTCGTCCGTCCGAGGCTGAAGGCCTCGCAAAATCCGGAGGCCATGATGTGGTATCAGGCGATCGTTTCACCGGTCGGTGTTCCGGTGTTCCCGCGGAGCGGTGGTGTTGTTTCACCGGCGAGGTCGCTGGCGGTGGGCAAAAGCCGGCGGTTTGAGTCGGATTTTCGTCGGGGGGTGTGGTTGGCGGTGTCGACTTGAAGGGGGGGTGATGGCTTTTAAAAACTTGAGAGGCCAAGTGACCAATCATTCATTTTCTAGCAGATGATGTCGTTTGGGATGGTTTACTCATCGACCCGAAAAGTGTTCAGGCATTATTCTGGGATGGGTGTTATAAAAAATCAACAATCCACATCAGTTAGACTTGAATAAATTCGATTACTGTAATAAAGCCTGCCAATATGAAGAGATTGAAGAGGTTTTACAATCCCAAAGGGGGACGCTATTACTCAAGAGGCTACATTGTGACATCAGCTAGTCAACACACGACAGCTTGCGGCCTCTCCTCACTCTCAGGGACTAGGACTAGTAGCTTGTAGCTCGGCTTGCTTTCTTGGCGAATTCTCATGGAGAGAGAGAGATTCGGTGTACATTCATGGCCAGGAGCCCCTAGGCCCGTTCGTTCCGTCGGTCCGTGGCACATGTTTGTGTTTCTTTTTCTTGGAGATCAACAAGAAGACCTCGACCGATGGAGGATGGGCGCCTGATGAACCGCGATGGCTCCCGCTTGGAACTGTACCGGACCGCCTTCGTGGGGGAGTTTGGCCTCGGTGCTGTGGAGATTGGAGGCCTCGGTGCTGCGGGAGGTGTTTTTTTCACAGATGGAGGCAGTCCAGAAAGGCTGATGCAGGCAGGATGTGGATGTATGTGGTAAGATATTTGGTATTCATATGTATTCATCAAAAAAAGTGGTCAAGTAGCTGTTGAATCACACAAATACATTGTGAAATATGTGCGCCATCATGGATTATGACGTGAGCACGCCAGCCGTCCAATATGTCGACTGGACTGTTGCCAGGGCAGCATGACTTCCAAATCATCAAGGAAGGCGAGGTGACAGATCATTGACGTGAAGATAGACGATCCATTCTTATTTTACTGTGGTTTCAAAGGAGAGAAGGCACGAACCCCAAGACTTTTAGATGGGGGTTCCGTATGGGTCCACAAGAACGCTCAATCCCAAACGAGGCCTCAGGCGTGACCAGGCAGAGTTTCTTTGACGTATTTGGGGTTCATGAAGGCAACACGATACAACCATGAACGAGATGTGCTCGGGCTTCTTCACTCAGGTCAAAGGGCTGGTCATGTCACGTCGTATGCCCGGCCTTGTCACAGGATTAAATACGTTTATGTCTAATAAGTTCCAATAATATATACTGTACACTTAAACTATTTATGTATGCATGTACATACACAAAAATAAAAGTATGTTGTCACAAAATTGTTATTGTTTCGGGTGAAGGATGGACATGCACAAAATACCAGAAGCAAGGGCGAACCAATGCCATTTTGCAAAAGCCCAGCTGGAACCACAGAAGCATTAAAGCATAACCAAGCTTGTATGGTGCTAGCAACAGCTTTACTCACTGCAACAGGGCATTTCACAATCCAGGCTGCATCACACCACTGTGACCGGTGCCAACCCCAACAGACCAACAGTGGAAGCTGCTAGAACCTGATCGACCTGATGGGGACTCGACATCAATTCAATCATAGTGGATCGAGAGTAGATGGCACTGGGCCCCCAAGATGTCTTTTATATAGAGGTCCAGACAACCCAGGAAAAGCCTCAAACAAATTGCAGCTCGTCAAGGACGCTTGGGACGCTTGGGAGCTTGGACCCCGGCACTTGCAAGGCACTTGCATCCCCCTGAAGTCTTTGAAAGACGTAGATGCCTCTCCTGAAACAGACAACCCCAGCACCCATGGGATGCACGAGTCAACTGGTGCTCTTTCAGGCGTCTTCGGCATCCATGTCGAGGTTCGAAACCCCACGGCCAACGTGTCCATGATGTACCCAATCTATAGCTGCTTGGTCGCTTCACTCGGGAATTCCGCGTGTTCCGCCTCATGCAATTCCACACAATGTCTGACTCCACGCCGTGTCTCCTGGGTGGAGACACGTCGATCGAAGTTGTGAGCAGACGAAAGCGGTGGAACACGCGCAAAACGACGTTGGGATTGAGGGTTTCCGCCGCAGGCAGAGAGCTGAACACTGGAAACGCTTTTGCCGAAGGATTGACCGTTTGAGGACGTCGGTGGCGGTTTTGCCAGGTGACGTTGGTGATGGCATCCTGGTTTCTGTCATTTGAGAGTAGTTCTGTATGAACCAGCCAACGTTGCACATTGCAATCTTCACCTGCCCTAGCCGGCGACTTCGCACTTCTCATTCGCATTTGGGGTAAAACAGGTTCAGTGGAACCAACCAAAATAACTTACACACGAATCTTATCACATATAACTTCAAGCTGACTTCGTTTGTATCTCTTCAGTTTATTAACTACAGTTGGGCACTTGACTCCATGTATCCTCCTTCCACTCGTTGGTGAATCGCCATCACGATTTGCCAAGGAGATCTAGGTCCTCGAGACTCTCAGTGAATCAGGTTAGATTTAACACCATTGCGGAGATGACGGGGTTCTAGCAATCAGTCTACATTATGGTGAACCGAAGCTAGTTGGTGAGTCCTTCATTTGCTCACCGTCAGAGCTTGCCCCTACGGTTTTGGCGGGCACGAGAGCTTGTTCGTTCAGGTGGGATGGCCTATGTCTCCGCGCGTTACACGGGCGCCACCCCAAAGATCACAACGGTGCTTTGGCAGAAGAGCAGGGTCAAGTTTCCTAGAACCTGAGCTCGTATCCTAGACACAATGGAGAATAATATGATAATATATAGATCGAGGTAAATATACCTACATTGACAAGACCACCCTAATGTAGGTAAATATGTTATACATGGAGTGTTTGGATATAGAACCCTTGAGTCTTGAACCATCTTGAACCCCCAAATTATATCAAATTACTGTAATTTTTTAAATGTGATAGAGAGTCCTTGTATGCAATGTAGTGTAACGTATATATTGTGTTATGCACTTTGCACCAGAAAGAAGCCGCGAACAGTAGCACTCATGATTTGCAAATCAGCTTCTCCTCGCCCCAGGAGCGAAGCCGCTTCGGGGACGTTTTTGCCTTCAATAACCTGGTGCAAATCAGCAAAGGTGTTTGGAGCGTGTCAACAGGCTGGTTCACGGCCAGCTCGGGGGGGTGTTCTATTGCAAAAGTCGATGAATCATATGGTTTTGTGTCGGTTGTCCCACTACCAGTAACATATGCAACATCCAGTATATAACAGTCAGTAAAAGACTATCACTATTTTGGAGAAACGCCTTTACTAACAATCATCACCCCCACTGTTGCTGGCATGATGTGCTCCCCTCACAACTCTTGGCCCAAATCCCAAAAGCTGTGTTTGGCAAACCTCACCCCAAAAAAAGACAAACTTGGGAAATATTCACAAGGAGTTCTTAGTGGGAAAGCCAAGAGTAAGGACAAAAGTAGTGGACAGAGAGTGCGACTCTCCCTATATATGATATGTACTGATACACCTAGAAACTCATAAGACCTTTGTTTTGATAGGAAAAGATCATGTTCTAGGTATAAATAAAGATACATTTCTTGCCAGCACGATTGAGTGCTGTGCCAATGGTGACTAAGAGCGGCCAGTAGGAATGCCAAAGCACCTAGAATATGGGACAACCGTGAACAATCCCAAAAGCCAGTGTAAGGTCGGGGAAATACTTGTTACAGTACAAGCTATGCATACGCAATGGCGAGCATACACTGCGTACATTGGAGATGCCAGGCTTCCATCACCTGAGCCCGCAATCAGCGCAGCTCCGAATCTACCTGCTGGATGCTGCTCGGCCAATACGCTGCTCGAGCCGAGCAATGGAACAGAGCATGTTTTTCAGAACAACAAAGCCAGAAAGCCGTGCCAAAAGTGCCAAAACGGAAAGCGAAACCAGGCTGAAATAAAGCCTTATCAGTTTAGCTTTTACTCCAGATGCACCATGTGACCTTACATGCCACATTGACGTTTGCCAACTAGCTGTTCCATTGACGTTGTGCTACCAATCTGACCGGGCCAAGCTGTAAAGAAACCGCAAAAATGAGACGATGCGAGATTACAATAGAGTTTATTTTAATGAAAATGCAATGGAAAAACAGTTATGTTTTTATATTGTTTCCATATGTTTCTGTCACAACAACCGTGCTGAGCTCCATTTCGCTTCATCTCCTCCCAGGCCGACTTGGGTTTTGTCGACGATTCCTTCCAGTTGGAGCTGGGGTGTCATCCCAGCAGCACAATGTGGCCTTTTTGGGACGGGGGAATGGGGGACTTCAAGATTGCTTCTCTACTGAGGGCCGTAGTCGCTTCTTGTTACGTTCGTAGCGATGGCCTCCAACCTACTTGCGATGGCCTCCACCTAATAGCGTTCTTGCTACAATGGAGGAGTGCGATAGATTCAACCAAACATAGTTGGTGAAGGTAGTAACTGAAAAATGCGCCCTTTCCGGAAAGGAAATCATTGAAGCGCGCACGCAACCCTGTTCTGTTATACATATAAAAATATTAAAGATAATTGTTTGACTAGATAGATTCGATTAAATTGGTTTGAAAGATCCACTTAAGTGGAAACCGATAGATAAATGTATATAGTAGCGATAGGTCGAAACCACGAGGCCTTTGAGATCTCAAGATGTTGTCACTGTTGCAGATGACGGGTTTTCGCAGCACGTTGCCGCATGTGTGGCCAAGCTGGAGCTGCCGCGGCAAGCCGCGGTTCCAGACTGAGAGGATCGATCGAGCTGAGAGAGGCATATATCTCTGTCTAGCCCAAAATAGGTCAAATCCAAGGTTATCCGATTAAAATATAGATTTATACATTGAGATATTTATTTTAATATTTAGAATCAAATTAAGACGCTAAAAAAGCATTTCCAAGCAAACCAAGACCGACACCGGGTCCTCCAGTTGTTTGTGGTGTTTGGTGTCATTTGTACACCAGCAGCACAGCAGCGACCGAAAGAATTCTGAACATTTTGTCACTCTGCATTGTTTGCGAGGTCTGGCGGCATCCAATTCCAAAGCTTTACCACGAGTATCCCTGTCTTTGTATAGCTCTTTCAGACACAACTTGTGACCCCATGGTTCACCTTTATGGGTGTGGCTCATGGAAGAAAGACCTCCTGCGATGCCACTAGTTGAACAAGCTCCAAACAAGCCAGTCAGCCAGACTACCTGAAACCTCTTCCTCGAAATGCTGGACGTCCTGTGCCACGCTTGCTCAACGTCCTTCGCCAGGCGAGCGGAGCTGCCTCCTGCTGAACCGGCCGCTGACCGGCTGGGTCCGCGCCGCCCGCGTCCTCGCGCCGCGGGACGTGGAGACACTGGACCTGCATGCACCAGCCATCCCAGTGGGTTGGGATTTGCAAGTGCCCCAGCTGCAGGTGCTGTCCATGGTTCGTATCACGTATGGCGCGCTGCAGTGAGGGCATTGAGGGCAGTAGGTCTGACGGCTGGGGGAAGTAGGCCTTCCCACAGTGCAATCTACAGTGTGATGATCATGATCTACAGTGTCTATAATGTCTATAGCAAGAGGTTTGGTTTCGGGGCTGGGTGTCTCCAAATGATATTCTACTTGCTGCTCGAGCTTGAGTCAGATCTTGCAGACAAATCTTCCTTGCCTCCAGCCCATCCAGAGCCCCTCAAGCCCCGTGTTCGCAGTCCATGATGAGATCACCCCACAATCGCCGAAGAGCATTCATATGCATTCATGCTCAAACCCATGAGATCATGGGGTGGAAGTGGATTAGGCGCACAGGTTGTGGCTCCAAGCCTTGGCAACCACTAGGCAGGGCTCAAACGCCTCAGCAGTTCATTTTCCCTGTGCCTCGCTGAGATGGAAGACCAGGGCCACGTGCGGTACAAGTTTGAGGTGGCCGGAGGAAATTCTTCTCTGCCAAAGCTGCTTCATTGGGCTTATGTGCCGAGACAGCACATGCTCCATGGATCTCCATGGGGCACATGCTCTCCCGCTGCGGACGCCCGAGTTGCTCTATGCTAAGCATGTGGCAGTCCCGGTGGTCCGTCCATGCCACATGTCTAGGAGTCTAGGTGAACGGGGCACGTGTATCATCCGTCGGCCGGCGGTAGCACATGTGACATGACGCGTGTTGCCGTCCTCGCGAAAGAAAAGCTCTTTGTTGTTTGGAGAGGGTGATGAGGATGATAAGGTTGCCAAGGACGGGCGATCAGAGGGGTTCATAAGCTTGTTGGGCCCAAGTGTCCTGTAACTGTGGGGGAAAGGGCAGAGAGCAGCCAAACATGAGGCATCCCCGACTTGCGCTGGAATTCTTACCTTGGCTTCCTCGTTTGGAAGAAGCGCCCGAAAGCACTGAAGAGTCCGCGATCAGTCCGATTCCGCCATTTCAGGCCCATCATCAAAAGATGCTGCAGCACGAGAATACCACAAAGATGGCGAAGGGTCTTTCTTCGAGCTTCTGGGCACAAAGATCGGGACCGACGATGGGGTCTTTGTTTGTCCTCCAAGTTCGGAGGTGATGCAGAATTCTATATGACCTCAAGATGCGAATGAACATCACATGCGAACGTCATATGACATCGTACCACATGCGCTGCAAGAGGCATTCTTTGAATCACACTCCCATGAAGGGCTTGCTTCTTCCTACAAGAGAAAGCCGGAATGAGACAGGAGCATCTAGCTGCTAGCAATGACAGAACACAAATGAACACAAGCAAGACCTGCACTTGTTCCATACCCTCCCTCAGACAATCATGGAAGCTGAGCAGGTCCCCCTGTCCGTAGAGGAAGGGCTGGTTCTTCCAAGAGCCGAACAGTCCCACTTCCACGAGTGTTTCAGGGAGTGTAATATATGTATATAGACTCTTGATTCATGATAACTATGATGTATGAAAACCCCTCATTTGGATGCGCGCACTTCTCTTCGCATGGGGCGCCCACACACAGACGTTTGTCCTCTTTTAATCATCAACCGTCCTCAATTGGTGCAAAGAGAAGCACTTTTTGACACAGAAGCGAGGTCAGGCGCCCACCAAGGGCCATATGGCTGGCGTCTTGGGCAACGAATGGCTCTTGAAGGCTCAGTTCTTTAACGAGCCGCTGGGGCGGCAAGCAGGCATCTTCACCAGGCGGACCCGGTGAAGATGGCTCAGACGGTCGCGGGAGTGGGGAACCATGTAAAATCGGTGGGTCAGACTGACGAGATGGCCAGAGAGGAAGGCAATGGAAGGTAGACAGGTCTGACAGGCCGATTTTCCCATTGAACTGGGGGAATCTTCGTAGTAAAACACAATGGTTCACAGAAGAGCTTTTGACCCATATGTTGCCTTCATATCCCTCTATATCCCTCTCCTCGGTCTGAACAAATCCACGGGTTTGCAGCGTTTCGCCCTGGCCACTTCGGCACGACAACCGGTCAGTGCGATCTGGGATGTGTTTCACCTCCCAAGTTCGCCAGGCATGGCCACACCTGATTCAGCCCAAGATGGGGCAAGGCAATTGGAGAATTGATTTATATATCACTTCCAACGACCATGGTCATTCCACGTCACGAGAAGATGTCGGATAGCCAAGGACCAACAAGCTAGACTTCTTGCCGGTGATGCCGGCCCTTTCAGCGGAGCGGCAGGCCCGTTTGATCGAAGAGACCAAGGCAACCCTGCAAGAGCTCAAACGGACGTGGCGGCAATCCATGTTCAAGTGCCTTGGCTGTCATTCATTGAGGACCGATCGTCTCTCGTTTCTCACTGCCTTTCTTTCGAAGGATTTTCGACTTGACCGCGGCCCCTCTCCCACATCGGGCAATGATGGGGATGGGGTGGAGCGGTGTAGTTGGCATGCGAGTGGTGGCATGCAGTGGTTGCCATGCAGTGGTTGGTCAATATCCTTTCGATCTTGCATTTGAACACCCTGGTCAGGAATGACAAAATAACTATTCACGAAAGCTAGCACCAGCTAGCTGGAGTTGTCCTTGCTTTAGCAAGTGAGGGGCTGGAATCCTCAGGATCGCCGAATCACGTGAAAACTTCATATGTAGGGGGGGGGCCCCCCCCCCGTGGGTTCAACTCCCTCCTCGGACGCCTCTGGGACACCTCTCGGGCATCTGTTATGGCATCCACTTTGGCTTAACGGATCCTCCGGGATACGGTGCAACAGATTCAACAAGCTCACACGTTCATGACATCGACATCGATAGAAGAAACCAAACAAATCATGCAAGCAGCTTTGTTTTGCCTCTGGGACACCTCTTGGGCACCTCTTAGGGCATCCACACTGGTTCAACTCCTCCGTGGAGGTTTTGGGATACGGTGCAACAGATTCAACAAGCTCACAGGTTCGTGAACACATCGGATGCATCGAACAGTGTGGCAAAGTCCAGCCACGCTTCCTTAATTATCGGGGACTTCAATTCTAAGGTTGGCTGTGTCATTGCTGTTTGTGTGTCTTACATGTTCACAACGTTTTACCTCATGAGCATTTGCTTCACTCCGCTTGATGTCCCACCAGTCCGGATGCACCCCTGCTAGCTTTCGTCACCTACCCTCGGCCTCAAGTGACATAGCAACATGGGCCCAACATGGGCTTTGGTCGCGCAAGAATATATATATATATGCATATATATATATATATTTGTGAGATGCACATGCTCCTAGGTCTACAAATTTCTTTATTTGCCCTTGGAAGCGCAGTCTAGTTTGTTTCAAGTTTCTGCTGTTGAAAGTGGCGTTGCCGGAATCGGAAACAGTATACATTTGCAGTCCATGGACTAGCTAGCTGACGGCTGCTCTCTGAACGCCCTGTGCCGCTGTGGCCTCCAATCCATTGGAAGGTCTGACTTCTACTTCAGCGGGAAGGGTTTTCAGAAGGCTGGACCGATGGATACCGATGCTGCTTTCGGTGTGCGGCGGTCTCTTTCTGAGGTGAGGCTGGTTAGAGGCCACACCCAGGCTGGTCAGAGGCCCTTGCAAACACTAGGAGAAAGGTGGACATGGGTTTTGCTACGTAGGGTTTTGCTATTGAAGATTATGTTCAACCATGTGCTGCGACTGCGCATGGACATCCATTTCTGATGAGCGCGCAACAAAGCTATGCCGCATGCCTCTTTGTTCATCTCTTGTCACTGTATGTAGTATGGATCTCTCTTATTGAATGTGTTTGTGCATGAGCAGTTGCATGTGGCAAGGAATAAGGTTCCACATGTTCAATGCCAGCTTTCCCACCGTTCCAGGTCGGCATGGTGTGCTTGTTAGCGGAGAAGCTTCTGTCCAGCCAAGAACTGGAGCTTTGCACTCGTTGGCTCGCACGTGGCTTCGAGTCTCTAGGCTGAATAGACGAGAAAAAAAACACCGAGGATCGGCGCAAAGATGTTCTACATGCGTTTCTTTTTTCTTTTTTTTTTTCCGGTGGTGGTGTTTAATATACGATATGGTGAATGTGTGGGTCATGTTTCCTTCAGTGCACTTATATGGAACGTCTGGGGGTAGGTCTTCTGTACTTGGTCTGGCTGACACCCACAGGCAGTGGTGACTATCCATGGTGGTTAGCCCCGTGAGGCATTCTTCTTGAAACATGCTTTAATTTGAGAAAGACCAATCGGGTAGCTCCCCCCTTTTTGAGATCAGACTGCGCCACAAGCTGAGTTTCATATTCTCCATCAGCCCCCACATGGTTGTCAATGTTCCTACAACGCATAGGTTCTTTGCCTATTGACAACAGATGTCAATCGGACGCCCCAGAAGGTGAACCATCCCAAGGAGGGACGAATCTCAAGCCTGGGATCCAACCCGAAAACACTGGTTCGTTTTTTTTTGGCCACATGGATTCCACAGCGATGTTTTTACGCCCATGAGTATATATCCTTCCGCAGGTGCATCCTCTACAAGTCGAAACACCCAGACGATCGAAGTTCACGCTGCGTGCTTTGGCGCCAACGAAGAATTCGGGGGATGTTCGGGTGCGAGGCAAGAAAGGCAAAGGTACTGGCCGGGGCCACAAGAATCCTAGTGGAGGAAAGCTGTGATGACAATGTGTGGGTCCGGACCTAGGTGATTTGCTCTCCTCGGATCGCATCCCATAAGTCCCATGGCAGTGGTGTTGGCCTTGCGGGATGTGACGCAGGATGGATCATCATCCGCCGATCTAATAAGGCAGGGGCACCAGGCGGCTTGTTCTACGACAAGGATTGGGGAGGCTTGCCTAGCAGAGTTGGCTACAATCCAACCTGGCACTCAAAGCCAGCTGCCCGGCGAGATCGCATGACGTTCATCAGGGGTGGAGATGCATTCTTGTCGTTCATAGGGGCACCCCCAACCAATGGGTTTGTGAGCGTCTTTGGGGGGGGTTCTCTCTTTAGAACACAGAAACACCTACTACAAGGGATTGGGAGATATATACATAAGAGAAGGTGGGTCAGATACCCTCCAGGATCAACTGGAAGGCTGCTTTTCTCAACCAATCAGGGAGGAAAACGCAAAGAAGTCACGGGCACGTTTACTTCATGCAAACATTTCGATGCAAGAGAAGCAAGCAAGGAAAACAGCAATGTTTCGGAAATGGTGGGGCTAGAGCTAGAGCGTTCTGCTCCTGAGCTGCCTTCGATCTTAAGCATGGATAGTCCGGGCCGGGCGGGCCGGGCCACCGCCGGCCGGGCCACTGCGGGTCGGTCCGGGCGGTCCGGGCCGGTCCACTGCGGTCCTTCCATTTGTATAGGTCCTTTGTGGAATCCACCAAACCACACCTCAAATCCACCGCCCCAGCGTGGCGTAAGGAGACCACCTGACGCAGTGGGCAAAGGAAGAACCTATGCATCAAGATATACCCACAAACACTTTACAGAGGATGGATCGGCTGGTTTTTTAGTCTGTGCGAATAGACCCGTTTCTAATATTGTCGGTCTACGGAGCTGTACTTGGGGTTTAGTTTTGATTAAACCCTTTTTGGTCGAGTAAGGGCCCTCACTCGATCACAAAGGGTTTACATCCTGATCCAAACCCCAAACCCAAGGGTATGAATATCAATCGACCAAAAAGGGTTTAATCAAAACTAAACCCCCATTCCAGCTCCGTAGACCGACAACAGTAGAAAGGGGTTTATTCGCACAGACTAAAAACACTTTGCCGATCCCTCCTCTAACATGTTTGTGGATACATCTTGATGCATAGATTCTTCCTTTGCCCACTGCGTCAGCTGGCCTCCTGACGGCTGTGCCGGGGAAGGGAGTTCGCACGGGACGGGCCGGGCCGGGCCGGGCCTCGGGCCGGGCCGGGGTAGACCCGGCTATCCATGTTAAGAGTTTGCTGGAAGCGATGGGGCAAAAGCGAAGCCCTACCAGAACATGAAGTGAACATTGTCCAAGTGCATGTGATATGACATGATGTGACATGTTTGTCGTTTTTTCATTCTTTTCGATGGTTTTCTTCTAAGTCTTCTGTCAGGGAATTCCACGTTCTCATGACATGGATCCTTTGACCTGTAAGAGTTCAAGACTTTGCAGCCGTCATCTCCTGTGCCCAAAACGAAGCGACACCCCTAGCGATGCCGAAGCGATACCCTAAGCCTTGCCGCTATGTCGTTGAAGCTATGCCAATCCACCACTGGCCCACCTGAATATAGGGTGGTTTGCAACCAACGATGATGTTGCAATAACAGCTGGGTCAATGCTCGGCTTGGCTGCTTGCAAAGCTCTATACACTTGCCTTTGCTCACTGCAAGAAAGCGAGGCCTCTCTTCCAAGCTGAAGTCACAAGTCTAAAGTGGTCCAAAACTGAGGGAAGCGATGGGGCCTCCAAAAATCCATGTCGTGATGGCATTCGAATGAACGAGTTTTGGCCGCCGCACCTTTTTTTCTCATTGGCTTTAGGTGTTGCACTGCATGCTTGCGGATTTTGGCAACTCCTGCTACAACGCAGCTTGGCTTGCTCATGGTGGGTATGCACTTGCCAAATGCAATTCGGAGGTCCCTATCGGTGATGCGGCATGCGGGACCTGTGACACCTCCCAGACAGCTGCTGACATACATGCAAGAAAGGTGAGTGAGCCATAGGCTGGCGAATCTCAAGTCAAACACCCGATTGGTCATACTTTGCCAATGCATGGCGTTGCCTGAATTGACTTTTGTTCGTGACTTTCATGAGTTAGATTGAGGGAGCATCCAGTGCATCCAGGTGATCAATCGGTCGACAGCCTGAAGCTACTGCAGCATTTCCACAAGCTTGTGATGACAGCTCCAGCAAACTTCTAAAATGAAAATAATGAGGAAAACACAGTGTGGAACATATGAACCCAGAGAACGTGGTTGTTGCAAAATTCCACATCAGGATTGTGATCCTGAAATGTGTCATATTTTGATGTGGTTATACAATGTTATACAAGACCCGGCTGCGAAATTGGATCCAAGAACTGTTACCAAGACCCTGCAACATTCAAACCTGTGAGATCCTGTGAGTATGAGACTGGAGACTGGTCGCCCCGCTGGTCGGAAGAGACCTCCCAAATACATGGAACGTTTCAACAAGAGACCTCAAACCAAACAAAGCATCAATCAAGCTGAAATGTTCTCTGCCTTCGCCCGCCAAGACTCACAAAAAGACAAAATTCAGAGCCTCCAGGTCTATTGGCCAAGCACCCCAGTCGTTGAAGCAACCCCGGATCCCAGCTTGAGTTTTGCACTTGAGTGTTACTTTGTTTGTGTTATTTTCCTGAGTTTGGTTCTGAGTCATTCTTTCTGATTGATTGAGTCTTCTGCTGAGTCTTGCTTTGTTTCGGTTTTGTTGCTTTATGTTGCTTTGCTTTATTGATGTTTATTTAATTGAATTGCTTGATATGAGCTTTCTGGGATTTGGGGATCACAAATCTAACATAATCTAACCTCTTTCTCATGTATTCCCAACCTTCCAACCTTTCTTGAGGACCACCATTACCATTTTGGCTACTTCGTGGTCTCCGCCGCCATCTTGGCCAAACTCAAGCCCTCCTGGACGAAGAACGCGGACTTTGTGAACTTCGTCGCTCGAGCCGGACCGACGATCGAACTGAAGGCCGTGACGTCGGAAAAGACATGGCCGCGACATGGCAGTTTTCTTTCCCATTTTGTGGCAAGGTGGAAATTGGCGCTTTCTGTGGTAGTAAGGTGGGGAGACTCAAAAGAGCCTTTTTGGATCACACCATCTTTGCATTGAGAAAGGGTCCTGGCAAAACTTTAGGCCGTTTGAAGATCCAGGGATGATAACTGACTAGCACAGAAATTGGCTAGCATAGGATGGCCGAGCTCTCAGGTCGATGGCCTCATCAGGGACACCTCGAACCCCAGCAGCGAGGATCCCTACTTCCCACGCTTCCGACAGTGCCGACCTCACTGCGAAAGTTGCGCTGAACCGATGACATGAGATGATATCATTTGAAGAGTTCATGCATCATGCTGCCTCATGCTGCATCATGCGCTCAATGGTGCTTTTGATGAGTTTCTCATTGTGAGATTAGGCCCGTATGCAAGGTGGCCAAGGTTCCAAAGTGTGATTTGCAACAACCTCAATGTTCATTGACTTCCGACTTGCGCAAATGGGCAAACTACTGTTGATGGAAGAAATCCTGCACCACTTTTGTGAAGATTATATATTACACCCTCGCGCTCCCTTTAGCATTGCTTGGTCCAGAATCAAAACTTGCAAAGGGCCCTTTGACGAAAATCCTGCACCACCTGCCTGCATAACCCAAAAACACTGAATGGGAGCGCGGGGCTGCTGGTCTGTCAGGTGTGGATGAGTTATGTGTCAAAGTGGTCAGCAAGTAAGCGGACGGGAGGCTGACGATTGGTGCATCCACAACCATCACAAACATCCACGATAAAACTAAGAATGAGAGCTGAATATGCAAACTTAAAGGAGCAGAGGTGAAGAACGCTGCCCCGAAAACAAGTCACACGAGTCCGCAATGGCTCGCACGAGTCACAGACCAGAGACATGCAGGAAGAACTGACCGGACGAGGCCAGAAACCCTGAAAAGAAGCATCAACCGCAGAACGCTACTAGGAACAAGAAGCTACTAGGGGCTTTGGCCTTAGTACTAGGAGCAAGGATGCTACTAGGGGCTCCTGGCATCGCTACTAGGAAGAAGAAGCTACTAGGGCATTTGGAGAAGATCCCTAAATGCCGAACCCCTGGTGTCACATGTGGGTCGCGTGCAAAGTTGCACAAAATCTTTGTGGATTTCTTCATCACACCAGTCTAATTATACTGTATTTGATGTCAAAATCTACCTTTCCACTGACACCTTGACCACTCTTTTGCTCTCAGCTTCGACTGGTTCGACCTTCACTCCTGGAGCCGTGGCTTGGCGCCCAACCCGGAGGGCAAAGATGAGGAGTCCACCTCGGAACCTTGGCCATGGAGGGTCCAGAACGGAGGGCCATTTATTTTAGGAGTATTTTAAAAAATGTTTGTTTGTGTTTTTCATGGCTTCTGGCTTTCGTGGCTTCTGTGGCTTTTGGCGTTCGTGGCTTTCGTGGC